ACTGCCTGGGGACATTTCTCTTAGGACCCTTCCACTGCCTGGGGACATTTCTATTAGGGCCACTCCACTGCCTGGGGACATTTCTCTTAGGACCCGCATCTGGCTTAAGGCCTGTCGTGAGACATCCTGCCGGCACAATGCCAGCACCTGTCTGTGTAGCAAGCTTGGAAGGTATCTGACTTCTGTAAATGGGAGGGAAAATTACTAGCAAGGTAACCACACCCCTAAAGATGACGGCGTGACCAGTAGACTGGCTTCTGTTCCTCCAGTCTTCCAGGAGCCCAGACACCCGAACCTCAGAGACTCTTGTTCCACACACTGCACTCCCGAGACCTCGGGCCACAGCCTGCTCCCCTGTCTTCCTTCAGGTCCACAGAAGCCACCCCAGACCATCACATGCCGCCTGCCCTCTGTTGACACCAGGGACCTCAACCCAACCTAGCCACCTCCTCCATTTTGGGGCAACTACAACTTCAACTCTGGTGTCCTGAGTTCGGGTGAGCTAATCCACGCCATTAGCTAACTGAACCCCAGGAAGCCTTGTCAATGAAGGATGTCTTTTGGGCTGTTGTTTGTTTTGAGATATAACCTCTCACACTGTATGTAGTACAGGCTGTGGTGAACTCGCCATCTAGGGCAGGCAGGTCTGGAATTCTCCGTGATCATCCTGCTTCAGCCTGGGATTGCAGTCATGAGCCCCCACTGCACCTTGTGAATTCTTCTGTTAATGTTCCCATCCATCCAAAAGGAAACCAAAGTTCAGAGAAGCTAATCATCTCTCTGTTCTCTCCATCACTCAAGCAGCCCCAAGGGGCTGGGCTGGGCCACTCCACCTCTGCAGGGGAGCCCTGTGCTAGCCGGAGCTAAGGTCTCCAGGTGATACCGAAATGACCTAGGAGAAGCCATACTCAGATCTTCTTCTACTGAGCAACACTCTTCAGACCTGACTTGGGATGAGATGTCTATACTACAGATGGTGTAGCCCCCCAGCTCTTGCTGCGGGCATCTAATTCTTGTAGTCTCGGAGAGGATCGGGGGCCTAAGAATTTTTAATAAGTTCTCCAGTGACGGGGCAAGTGGAGGAACCGGCTTTGGTTCCCTAAGGGTTAGCTGACTCCCCTGGCCTAAATTCTGGACTGTTCACATTGGGGGGTCAGAAGCTGAGACGTCAGAAATCTGAGGAATCACTTGGTGCTCTAAAAACACGGTGAAATGGACACTCAGGTGCTGCCACCCAGTAAGGGAGTCAGCCTTCAGAATGTGGGCCCTTGCAATCCGCCCCCTCCCCTGCCCCAGTCTAGGAATTCATCCCGAGGGGCTGCACAAAGTGATCCCAGTCAGAGAAAGGGGACATTCAGATCCACCCTCCGGCAGGCCGGCTGAAGCAGGTCTCTTGCCGCCTCCCCCTTCACCTCTGTGCAGCTGGGGTCCCCTGGAGACAACACAGACTCTGTCCTCCCTGGGGCCCTTTCCTGCTCCCCGGGCCTTGCAATTTGCCTATGCAAAGGGTTGAGCGGGAAGGGGTGGCTGAGAGGAGGGTGGGAGAGTGGTACCACTGGGAAATTCTATCACTTCAGCATGGGGTGGGGTGGTATCTAGAATGTTCCATTGAGTCTGACCTGTGGACTTTGACCCCATAGTTAGTGGTTCCAGACCTTGCTCTCCTCTTGTATAAACAAGAGGCTCCCTTGGGTGAGAAAGTTGCCCTTTGACTCTTGGTCCAAACAGAAGAACATTGAGCCAGGGGAGGGGCTGAGCCTCTGTCTTCTTCATTCCCCCCACTTTCCCACGGTACCACCTGGGCTCCCTATTGAGTTACCCTAGTGGCTTTTCAAGGCTTTAAAAAGAAAAAAAAAAAATCTGGTTTTTGTTTGTTTATGGAGAGGGTCTTAAGCAGCTCAAGCTGGCTTGAATGTGCTCTGCAGCAGAGGGTGGCCTTGAATTCCAATTCTCCTGCTAGGATTACAGGTGTGCACCACCACCACCACCACCACCACCACCACCACACTCAGATCAAACCCAGGGCTCCCCGTATGCCGGGCAAGTGCTCTATCAACTGAGCTACGCCCCCAGCCCAGGAAACTTAACACAGTTTCTCAGAGCCTCAGTATTACGGCTGAGTGGAGGATCCTCTCCTCCACAACTCGTCTGTTGAACCTCTAGTCCTAGAGCCTGTAGAAAGGCAATTAAGATGAAATGGGGTCCTAAGAGGAAGGCCCTGATCCTACAGTCTTCTGTCTTTATAAGAAGGAATAATGCCCAGTTCAGGCTCCCTCTGTGCCCACAGGCATGAGGCCACGTGAAGACACACAGAGAGGGAGTGGAATCCAAGCCAGAAACAGAGGCCACCCAGAAACCAACCCCAGTCTTGGCCTTCTATCCTCCTCAGCTTGGAGGAAATAAAATCTCAGTTGTGTTAAGCCCAGTCAGTGTCGTGGCATTGCTCCATCAGTGAGAGCTGACTAAGAGACTCAGCATCTTCATCTGAAAGGGAATGAAAACTGGGCCTTGCGTCAGGAGGCTATTTTGAGAGTCCAGTGAGGAAATGACACATGAAAGGCTTGCTGGTTTCTGTAGCTCCTCACTGGCTGGAACAGTGTAGTAGATGTCTGATAAATCGATTTTTGTTGTTGTTCAGTTGATTGGTTGTTTTTTTTTAGAGTCAGGGTCTTTCTGAGTAGATCTGGCTGTCTTGGAACTCCATCTGTAGACCAGGCTAGTGTTAAACTCACAGAGATCTGCCTGCCTCTGCCTCCCAAGAGCTGGGGTTAAAGGTGTGCACCACCACGCCCAGCTTGATAAATAAATGATTGATAAACACCGCTGTTATAGAACAAAGCAGTCCCATGAAATATGGGAGCTTCTGGATGTTCCCTAACCTTTAGCTTCTCTGATTGGTGGTTACCACCCACAGCAAGTGATAACAGGAGTAAAGGATCAGGAAAGGTGACCGCAAGCGATCTGTCCATTCCTGTAACCCGTACAGGTCTGCAAAGGTGGACGCTATCCGAGAGCGGAACCTGGTCCGTCGCTGGTCTTTCCTCTAGCTTGGCAGGAGGGCTGGAGACCACAGCCATGAGAGGGAGAGGGGGCTCCTGGGAGTGTCCTGGGTAAAGTCCATTTGGGGTGGGAGGTCACAGGTAGAGGTGGACACCTTCCTAATACTTAGAATATGCAAATAACAGAAACAATAGGCCCCTGTCCCCTCAGGACATTTGTGGCAGCTCCTAGGCTCTGGAGAGGCAAAAGGATTCAGCTCATCTACCTTGCCATGGTGAGGCTTGGTCCCACGGGAGCCTCGGGAACCTCACCTGTTCAGACTCTTGGAGATGCAGGGCTCTGGGCAGGGGGAGTCCCAGCTGTACTGACCACTCTCTCTGCTCCCCTTCTGCCTCCTTCTAGGACAGGCACAGTGGCAGCAAGGCCCGGTGAGTACTCCTCCGCTTTCTCCTGCTCTTCCCCCATCGGTCTTCACCGACCTCCTCTTTCCCTGCAGCAGCCGTTATTTCTACCCCATGTGACCGGCCAGCTGTGTGCTCCCACTCTGTCAGCACTGTGGCCCGCTCCCCTAGGGTACCAACTCATGCCGCGGTGCACCAAAGGCCACCAGTTCTGCCCCCCCCCCCCCTCCAGTCTTAGCTTTCTGTTGCTGGGATCTCAGGTCCACCATGTCACACAGCTTCTGCCGGGAGCATTCACAGTTATAGGTGTGATTAGTCTAGAGTGCAATGTCACCCAGACACAGCGGAAGGTCCCCTTGGGCAGAGCTGAGCAGAGTCTGCTTACAGGATGGGGCCACCACTGCCACCTGCCAGATGTGTAGGTAAGTGACCCAGTGTGGGCCATGGGGCCCCAGCAGACCAGGGTCCCCCACAGTTGGATCTCCCTGAGTGACTCTAGATAACCTGTCCCACCGATTGTCCACTGAGGCTTAGCACTCAGGCCTGATTCTCTTATCTGCCTTTGGTGTAGGGTCAGGAACCACTGCTAGGTAGAACAGGCATCTGCTGGGGGCCCCATGCTTCAACACACCTGTCTCATTGCCTCTGCTGCTAGAAATGTCCATTTTGATGGGTTCCTCTAGGGTAGGGTTGCAGCCCATAGTTAAGGGCAGATGGTTTATTATTTACCAGAGAAGGAGTGCTAGAAGTGGGTGGGATGGAGCAAAACCAGTCTGTCCATCCAGATACCCCACTTCGGAGAGAAAATGTCCCAAGCCCGTCTTTCCTGCCTGGCCCAGAGACTTGGAGACACAGGGTAAGGCCAGTTGCTGAGGCTGGGGGCTGGGCGGAGAGAGGGAGCCAGCCATCTGCTCCCGGGGCTGACTTGTTCCATCCTCCATCTTCCCTGGGCCCCCAGCATCCCTTCTTTAAGGCCCAGGAGGAGGTCGAAGAGGAGGATAAATATGAGCTGCCCCCCTGCGAGGTTCCACCCCTCAGTCTGGCCCCCGCACAGTCTCTTGGCTCTAAGGAGGACTCCTTGTATCTGGGTGAGGGCTGAGGAGGGAGAGGCTGGGAGGTTGGGTCAGGACAAGAGGGTCCAACAAAGGAGGAGTCCAGGAGGGGCAAGCTCTCCTCCCTCTGCCTGAGCTGGGGTGGGAAGGGCCTCAACTGGCTGCCACTGTGGCCTCTTGGCTGGGCAGAAAAGGCCAGAGGGATGAAGGAAAGGAGGGAGAGAATAAACCGGGAAGAAGGAGAATGGGAAGGAGGAGGAGGGAGGGGCGAGGTAACTACGGCAACATCGACAAAGCAAAGCAGGAAGCCCGACCCAGTCCCCAGGGCCTTGCGTCCCCCCCCCCCAAATCTCAGCACATCCTTCCAGCCAGGGTGGGAGTTCCCTGGGAGGCCCCCACCACTGGCATCTCTCACCCACTGGGCTCAGCCAGGTGGGGGGCAGGGACGCTGACTGCCTCCAGTTGCCATGGAGACGGGGCTGTCAAGAAGCCAATAAGTAGAGGGGACAGGAGGAGGGAGGGAGGGAGGGATGGGGCTAGGTGGGGAGCCTTGAAAACGGGGAGCAGACTAGGGAGGAACTCCCCCCAGCCCCCCGCAGTTCACAAAGCACAGGGTCTTTTTCAGATCGTCCTGGGCCGCTGGGTCCATCCAAGCCGTCAGCACCCCTGCCTCAGCCCGCCATGGCCAGAGGACTCCCCACAAATCCTTCCTTCCCTACCCGCCCTGCCTCTGGCTACCACTTCCCGGTGAGTGACTCTTACAGACGTCTCATATGCAAGCCCCCTGCCCCCAACACACATTTCTATTCTAGGAGCCCGGACACCTATGGTGCCAGGTCCATCAGAAGCCAGAGGGAAATAAACAATAGCAGCTCCTCCCACTTGCCTAGAGGGTCCTCCCTTCCTCCCATATCCACCCACCCTGCTTGACAGGACACTCTTCCTCTCTTCCATCCCTGCTGGGGTTGGGGTTGGTAAGCTCAGCTTGCCCTCCCCCAGGCTCTGGGCCCTAGGACCTCCCTCTGGTCGGAGGGGTCAGCCGCCATCACTCCCAACTCCCACTATGATCTGGTTATCCATTTGGAGAAGTATCACTTTGCTTTTGTAAATACAAATACATACATAAACAGGGGAAAATTCACAGTAAAGAGAGGGGCCCCAATAGAGGCTGAGAGAAGCGTTGCCCTTCTCCTGCACCTCTCTTGTTGAATGTTTTATATGTGTTTGTTTGGATGGGTCTTCTGGGGGAGGTGCAGTTGAAAGAGGGTCTCACAGAGCCCAGGCTGCCCTCGAACCCCTGCTCCTCCCGCCTCCTCTTCAGGGTCGGTGTTGAAAGCAGCACATAGCTCTCCCCGCTCCCGCCTGCCCCAGCCTCCTTGCTCCTCCAGTGCCTGCGGTTCCCTCCTCCCTCACTAACCCCATCCTGCCCACAGCTGAAGCCGGCAATGAGTCTGCAGCCTGCAACCCCCAAGCCGGGACCTGTTTCTGGAAGGCGAGGTAAAGCGGAGTGTCCCCTCTCTTTCCCTGGCTCCCCATGGGCAGGGGAGTCCTCTCCTCCACAGGCCAGAGTTTTGGGTTGACCTTGACCCAGGCTGGCTGCACACCTCCCAGCCACGCATCCTTTCTGCTTGCCAAGCCCCCACGGCAGTCAGGGCGGGTATCATTATCAGCAGTGAAAGGGTGCAGAGACAGGCTCAGAGACATGAGCTGTGCGCCCTAGACAGTTCAAAAGCACAGGCCTGTCCGCCAAGCCCTGTCCTCAGCCGCTGTGATCTCTGGATCAGGTGAGGGGCACCCGAGAATGAAGAGGTCAAACCTCAGGCCCTCCCTACTGAAGCCTACGAATATTATCCCTCATCACTGGGGGCTCCCTGGGGCCACCACTCTGATTCCATCCATGCCACGGCAGATCCAGAGACTGGCCCCTATGGTCAGTGCCTTGAGGCCTGTGACCCCCAGAACCCTAGGATGTCAGGACAGGATGGACGCCTGAGCCATTCCTATCGAAAACAGGCGGCAGGAGAGTGCACTTTTCTGCCCAAGGTCACACAGCTCACTTGAGGTGCAATCCATCTTATCCGCCTCACAAGCTGGAAGACCTTCATGACCTTGAGGGTGGCTATATTGGTTTGGTTTTTTTTTTTCTTTTTGTTTTTTCTTTTCCCACCATGAAGTTATCTGCAGCCAAGCCTAGCAAATTCAGTGAGAGATCAAGCCTGGGGACATTTCAGGGTTTCGAAGAGAGAGGATGAGCAGATGAAGTGTGTTCTCCTGGGTCTTCAAAGCTGACTCCGAGGAGCACTGTGACTAGGGTGTTCAGGTCCTCCCCTCATCCATGCTCACGAGTGCTCCGAGGAGCACTGTGACTAGGGTGCCCATGCCCCTCCTCACCAATGCTCATGAGTGCTCTGAGGAGCACTATGACTAGGGTGCCCAGGCCCCTCCTCACCAATGCTCATGAGTGCTCTGAGGAGCACTATGACTAGGGTGCCCAGGCCCCCTCCTCACCAATGCTCACGAGTGCTCTGAGGAGCACTGTGACTAGGGTGCCCAGGCCCCTCCTCGATGATTCTCATGAGTGCTGGTTCTCCTTTTTCCTTACAGGGCAAGGTGCATCTGCTAGAGTGGTGAGCTGGCTCCTTCTCTATCCTGCAGTCTAGGGATTTTTCTAGAACGCTGACAGGAGAGGAATGGGTCCCTGAGTAGCCGGGGGAAAGGTCTGGTGCAGAGTCCTCCCCTCTCCCACAGGTATAGGCCAGTGGTTCTGAGGGTGTCCCCCAGAGCCTCTTCTCCACTCTCTGTGGGCACTCCTAAAAGAGAAACCCCTGAGGAGAGGCCCCCCCTGTGTAGGGAAGGAGTGCAATGCCTGAGCCACGCCCCTGTCAATCAGCGGCTTCTTTCCTGTCCCCCTTCCTCACTAATCGAGGCACAGCCTTCTTATTCCTGAAAGGGACCACGGGTCTAGTCAAGCCCATGGTTACCACCTTAGGTAACAGACCTTGCAAAGAAAAACGATGAGGACATCTACCTGGAGTGTGAGCCGGATCCACGTGAGCGGAAACTGCCCTATCCCATCCCTGAAGCCCTCGGCTGCCCATGAACACACTCTCGCCTCGCCCCATTTCTGTCCCCTCCAAACCCCACCTGGCTGCCTTCATTTCTGCCTTTAGCCCAGGTAGACCCACACTGTCCCTACAAAGGAGGCGACACTCTTAGAGCAAGGGCTGGGTGGAGCCTCTCATCTGATGCAGCCAGGCCACCAAGCTGGTATCTCCCTGTGGTTCAAAGGGCTTCAGGAGAGCCCCGGTCAGAGGGGACAGCAATAGACCCCTAGACTGTTCCGAGCCACTTCTGGTCAGCCTAGACCTCCCTGTCTGGTCCCCAGCCAACCCCTGCCTGCCCTCTCTGTTTTAGTCCCAGCCTTGACTAGGACTGCAAGCTCTAAAGCCCTGATCCCCCCAGTCCCTCTGCCAAGAACATCTGGATTGCCCAGGTAAGCGACAGCTGTAGAAACAACCTGAGACACCGTGTGCACTAATGACGGAAACTCCAGAGGCCAGACATGGCAGCAAACACCTTTCTTTAATCCCAGCATTTGGGCAGCAGAGGCAGGCAGAGCTCTGTGAGTTCAAGGCCAGTCTGGTTTACCTAGAGAGTTCTGGGTCATCTGATGCTGCATAGTGAGACCCTGTCGTCTCAAAAAGAATTTTTTTTAAATTAAAAAAAATGAAAATAAGGGGCTGGAGAGATGGCTCAGCGGTTAAGAGCACTGGCTGCTCTTCCAGAGGTCCGGAGTTCAATTCCCAGCACCCACATGGCAGCTAACAACTGTCTGTAACTCCAAGATCTGACACCCTCACACAGACATACATGAAGGCAAAACACCAATGTATATAAAAGAATAATAAATTAAAAAAAAAAAAAGAAAAAGAAAAAAGAAATCGTCTGAGCTCCGTTTCCCACTTTATTCTGCACAGGCCCATGCTTGGTCACCAGGAGGCTCGGAATGTAAGAGGCTAGTGCTCAGGAGGAAATGAGCCCAGGGGGGTGGGAGGGAGGCCCAGGGTGGGACTCCAGGTTCTGGGTAGCAGCCTGGAAGGCCAGCTCTCATCTGACCAGCCCTCCTGTGTCCCAGGGAGCAGAGGATGCCACGATGAAAGGTGAGCATGGGCATCTCCAGCCCGAATGGACTGTTCTCCTAAGATCCCACTCCCTGCCCCAGCCCTGCAGACAACAGATTACCCCCCCCCGCCCCCCACCCCGGGATCTCAGACCCCACTTCACTTCATTCAAGGGGGTCCCTGCAGCTCTGGCTTCTGCCCAGATGGGGCCTGAGAGGACCCTCTTGGCCATTTCCCAGGGTCTGCACTAAATTGGGAGGCTGCCAGTGTATGTCCCAAGATCAGTTCTCATTTGGAAATCGTGCCAGGAGTGTCTGGTGGGTCCCCCCAGGGTGCTGGGCCTGGGGACAGAGGGAGCACCGGATGCCCTATGTCGGACTTTAGACACACTGGCGTGGCTCCCTCGGCTGCTGCAGCCACCCGTGAAGCCTTCTTGCCCAGCTTCCTGGCCAGAAGAGGGCAGTGGCTCCAGCTCGCTTTTCTGCTTCCTTTCAGCAGGCCGGAGACTGTCTGTCCCCTCTATAGCCCCCGCCCTGAGCACCTCTGCTGCTGAGGTGAGCACAAGCTGGGCGCAGACTGTGCGTGTGAGGCCTGTGGGGAGCAAAGTCCTTGCCCAGGAGCCCTCCTGGCCTGGGGCCTGGACCACCACAAGGAGCCTGCCCGGAGCACAGCGTACCGCTCCTCCACGCTGCGTGTGCGCCAGGCACAGGCGCTCCTTGGTTTTGCTTGCAGGGCTCAGTCAGGGGCTGGCAGATGTAAACACATATCATTGTACACCGGGGTTCTCTGCTCCCCGTGCCCACCGGAGGGCTAGAAGGCACCTCTGAGTAGCTCTGTGTGTTGTATAGGACGGAAGCCTTCTGGGTCAGCCTTGGTACTCAGGGGACTGTGACCGTCAAGCTGCCGAGAGAGCCCTGCTTCACTTCCAAAAGGTGGGCGTTTGCAGACTCCCGGCCTTCTCTGAAATCCCGTCTCCTCGCTGCCTGTGCCTGATTAAGCTGGCAGCGGCAGGAGGAGGGCCAGGGAGGCATTCGACATGACTGGTCAGCTGGGCATTAGAAGACAGAGTTCATGGCGGGGGTCTCCTCCACAGGACGGAGCCTACACCGTGCGCCTCAGCTCCGGGCCTCACAGTTCCCAGCCCTTCACCCTGGCTGTACTCCTCAAGGGCCGAGTCTTCAACATCCCCATCCGGCAACTGGATGGCGGGCACCACTATGCCCTGGGCCGGGAGGGCAGGAATCATGAGGAGGTGGGTGCTGGAGGAGTCGTGGGCCAAACCAGCAAGGAGGCTCACAGTGCCGCACCTTGGGCCTGGCCAGGTGCTTGTGTGTGTCTGGGGAAAATACACAGTTTGCTTCTGGTCCCCACCCTGGGTTGAGTCGAAACAACAGAGGGTAGGGGCCTCTGAGACAGTTCTGTCTGTAAGCCTTGCGATATAAGGATCTAGTTTGACCCCCCAGAACCCAAGTAAAATAAATCAAGTGTGGTGGCTTGGGTTTATAATCTGGGTGCTGGGGAGGTAGAGAAAGAGGTATCCAGACCTTGGACTCACTGGCCATCCAGCCTCCACAGTGAGCTCCAAGCCAGTGAGAGGCCTTGTTTCAAAAAACAAGGTGGGGGCTGGAGGATGGCTCAGTGGTTAGATGCACTGACTGGTTTGGACCCGAGTTAAGCTCCCAGTACCCACATGGCAGTCTACAATTTGTACATAACCCCAGTTCTGAGGGATTCACTGCCCTCTTCTGGCCTCTTCAGGCACTGCATGCATGGGATGCATAACTATCCATCCATGTAGGGAAAACACTCATACACATAAAATATAAGTTAAAAAAAATCTTAACCAAACAAGGTAGCTGGGCATGCTGGCACACACCTTCAATCCTAGCACTTGGGAGGCAGAAGCAGATGGATCTCTTTCTTTAGTTCCAGGCCAGCTAGAGCTACACAGCGAGACCCTGTTTAAAAACAAAATAAAGCTGGGTGGTGGTGGCATACACTTTCAATCCCAGCACTCGGGAGGCAGAGGTGGGTGGTTTCTCTGTGAGTTTGAGGCCAG